GACTAATGGAGATGCCGTTTCAAAATTAAAAATAGAAAGGGCCAGAAATGTAGCACACGTATATATGCTTGATGACTCCTGGCTCAGCCATTTACAAGCTGTGCAGCCAGAAGCAAGCTATTGGAATGTCTCTGGGTTTCAATTCCCCATTTATAAAATGGAGGGGTAACAACACAGCACCCTGGTGTAGTTGTATGGTTGGAAACCACATGCCTAACACCTAATGGTTACTCACTAAAACAGTGGCTATCATAGCTGTCTTCAAAACCAAGATGCCAAGGGTGAGGTAGGATTAGATGGAGCTGTGATTCTGATCTAAAATTAAATGGCACAGAAAGGGGTAGCCTTGGGTATTTCCATCAGTGTTTTGATGTTGGCTTGTTTAAAACTTCTCTTTTAGAACTCTAGGTGATGAGTTGTCCAGCATCTCAAAGAGAAAATTCTGGGAGATGTCTCCCATACCAGATACTTTGAGGTATGCTCCCTCTCTCTTCCCCCCAGCAGAATTCCAATATTTTGCAGGTATCTATATCCTCAGCAGGACCTGGTACTCCCCAGAAGCCTAGCCCCTGCTGCATGGGATGCATTCATAAGGAAATCTGTTGTCAAGTAAAAGCTATACACTGAGTCTAGAAGCAAAGGGAAGACTTGCCCTTAATGACAAGTTGAAGTTGCTGAATTGACCAAGCCTGCAATACTCTCCCTCCCAGTTATATGAAATAATAAAAATTTGTATTCAAGGCCCTTAAGTCAATGATTTCCATTCCTACCTAAACATATTCTGATAAAATTTGACATCTTAAGGTGATAATCTCTAAGGATAAGTAAACTTTAAATTATCCTGGGAAAAAGTAAAATAGCCTGAGAATACTTTAGGCTTAGGTGCACACAAATACTTCTGCAAGCACAAGGTGAAACCAGTCACAGTATACCCCAGTCTATGTGGTCTTGGAAAGGAGTAAAGGCTTCTGATTCCCAGGTAATTCTAATTTCCTGAACAATGACCCCAGAAACCTATGAAGCCAGCATATCCAGTGAATCCTCATCCAAGTTAGAGACATTACCTGGCTCAGAAGGATTCTGTCTACCTCTCAACTAAGGAGCAGACACATTCTATTCTTGGTGAGCACATCACAAAGAGTGCTACAAGCTTAGGTCAGAGAAACATACTGAACCTAGAGTGTGACCTATGCAGACACATATCCACAAGTTTCCAAGGACTCCACCAAGCACAAAGTTGTTTAAATGTCTCCACTTTCTGGGGTTCACCGGCAGAAAAAATGGGAACCCAGTGGAGTATATAAGACATCATGTACTGCTCATTACCCACTGTTCTGGGTAAAGTGGCTGAAAGCTTGCTCCTTCTTCCCTCGAGGAACTCTCAGAATGTAAGGATGGGTTTGGGGAGGAAAGGGAACAGGAAAATATTCTTGATACACACTTTGAACATTGAGAGACCAAAGTGACGATGGAGAACAGTATCAAAAGTGGGTCTGAGGAAGTCACATAGCTTCTCAGACATCATCCACTTATTCCAAAGGAGCTACCTAGATCTAAGGCTCACTGCTGAGTTCCCACCACCAGATCCCAATGGCATCAGTATGTACAGCAAAACAATTCAGTGCATTGTCGTAGAAAGGCACCAGGCAGTTATGGCCCCAGGGTCAAACCCTGTCTAAAGCTTGTATTTTCCTGCCCACAGCTACAAATGGTTTTTACATTTTTACCAGGCTATTTAAACCACCACCAAAAAAGAACATAAGGCAGAGAAACAAAGCCTAAAATATTTGGTAAATATTTTACAGAAATGAATTTGCCAGTACTTAGATTAGAAAGTAAACTGTGGTCAGAAATATAACCTTTATTGTCAATCAAGAATTCTTTGGGCCTCTTTTGGGAAAAGTCTTTGCCCTTGGCTACTAGGGGTTAATTAATTACAGTTCCTCTCCTGGTTGGTGCAGGTGCCTGGATGAGAGAGTGGCTAGTGCATGGGCCAACGATTTGGGTTTCTCCTAATTCTTCTCTGTAAGCCAGTCTGTTCTGGAGTGCGAATAATGATTTGCAGCATTCCAACACCCTTCAGGGTAAGGGCTTCCAAAAGGAGTTGGCATAGCAAACTGCTCATGAAATACATACCTTCTGCTCTAGATGGGTTGAGCAAATGAAGAGATAAAGGGGACCAGATGATGGAGGTGTAGATCACCTGCCAGCTGGAATTCTTCAAGTCCCTGGACCCTGGGCACTGTCACTGACTGCCCTGACTGGAAGCCCTGCCAGAGCCCAGTTTTGGGGCAACAGGTCTATTCTACAGACACTTATCTCTCAGGAGCAGGCTCTACAAAGAGCTACAACTATTGTGAATTCAGTTCAAACAGCGTAAGTTTTTGAAGTCTTCCAGCTGGCCCACATTTCAAACAGCAACAGAGACAGCTATTGTATCAGCTCAAAGAAGGCACTTATATCATCAATGCAACTCATTATATTTGGATATTCTCTTCCTGCCAATGCACAATTTAAATAATCACTTCAAAGCAATTTGTTACATAATGATTGAGTCTTACATAATTATGACTTTCCTTGAAGAAGCAAAAGCCATTTGGGGGGGGGGGTGAGAGTGTCAGACTTAGCTAACAAAGGGACATTTAGTTGCCCTGGATACCTTGCCAGAGGCAGCATTGATGATAGGAGGGGAACAGAGGGAAGAGGAGTTTGAGGAGTTGTTGGCTATTTTGCCTATTCCACCTAATCAGCTTGAAGAGTCCATTACTAATCTAAATTCATATTGAGAGTATATTTATTTTTGGCAAAATGTTGGCTTTAATAAATGTCCCTTCCAGGCCATGTGCAGGCCACTGCCAGAGTGGGGACAGCCAGACTCAAGTCTTTCTCTGTGAGTCAGCACCATTCACGGACTGCTGAGGGAGAGAAACAGGCCTCACAAGGAGGTGATCCCCACCTGGAAACTAGCACTGTGCATGGGCCACTTGTGGAGTGGGGACAGCCAGACTCAAGCCTCCATGAGCCATTTGAGGACTGTGGAGGGAGAAAACAAGGCTTCACCAGGAAGTGATCTCCGCCAGGAAACCATATCATTTTCATTGTTTTGTTGGGTTGGGTTTTATTCTCTTTGTTTTGTTTATATTAAAGCTGATGGCATGAGCAGCTATTTAAAAGATAGCAAGGCATATTATGGTAGCCATTTTAGATTTACTTTTGGCTTGTTTTGAAGTCCTTACGGCATTCATTGCTTTGTTTTTATTGTTTCTATTTGATAGAATTGTGGGGGACCAGCGGCAGCTGAAAAGATAAGAAGTATGAAATATAAATGACCTTTATTTTGAGAATGTGGGGAGAGACACCCCCAACCCCCTGGGGTGTGGCATCTCTCCCCGGGGTTGGTGATCTCTCTGTGGAACACGTGGAGTGGAGACATACATGTAGCTTAGGTTAGAGGTGGTGCCTGAGGGGCATTAGGGATGCACAGGTATCTCATTGGTCGCCAGGGACAAATTCCTAGGGGTGGGGAAGATACAGCCATAGGTAAATTCCTAGGGTGGGGGAGATAGGAGCTCTTGGTTCCGCCTAAGGCTTTACCGGCTACAGTGTCCTGTCTGGGCCAAAACTCTTTCATATCCCATCTTATGATTATTATTATGAAAAGGGGTGAAGATTTCTCTGTTTACTGATTCCTGCTGACAGGGGGCACTGTACTGGGGTCTAGGGGAGTCAACGGGATGACAGTTGATGCCCAGGTACCAGGTGTTTTAGCCAGGACAACTTCACTGGTGAATGCATATATGTTAGACTAGAAAAACAAAGAGACAAGATGTTATGAGGAGGCGTGGCACTATCGTATTTAAGGGCCCAGGTGAGGTAGAGGGAAAGGTGCCTTTGATTTAGACATGTCATTATATCAGGACCATGTTGAGGTAGAAAAATTTCCACGGTAAGGCAGAATTCTGAAAATTAAACGTGGGGTTAAGAGGAGTGAAGTTATGAGAGGTGATTACTCCCCCATCTGAAAGGGTAAAAGTTAAAAGGGTAGGTAGGTAAGGCTTATCTCTGGTATGCATGATGTTGGAGTCTTTAGGAAATACTGTTAAGAGTCCTGCTGTAAAAAGAATAAGAAATTAGAAATCAAATTGGATAAAATAAAACATGACAGCCTGAGAGTCATGGCTGTGAGGCCTTGGTAAGGCAGAGTAGGCAAAAGGATGGCTAGATCTAGGGCCTGAGTGATGTGAAACCAGAATGGCAGTCTATTAACTTTGACCACTGTTGAGGTTGCCAAGAATATCAGGTATGGGTTGCTGTAACCTGGTTGTAGTCCTTGGAATGATTTGCTGTAACAGGATTTTAGTAAGTATATCAGCAGTTTCCCTGGTTGTGGGAAAGGCTTTTATGTATCCTGAAAAAGTATAAACAAAGTGAGAAGGCAAAATTTGTCTGTCAGCCTTGACCAGGGTTGTCTGAGAAACTGGTGAATAAGAAAGGAAGGAGGTGGTCTTATATCACTGAGGAGAGGTTTACTAGCAATAACAGGTGTAAGCTGTTGAGGCCTCAGTGTGTCTAAGTCAGTCTGTATAAACACAAGGGAATAGAAAGCATTTTTAAGATTTAGGTTAAGAGTGAGTGGTGGAGGGAAGATTTGGCACCACTGGGTGAATTGGGAAGAAGCAGTCTGGGACCTGCACGAAATAGGCCCTGTTTGTAAATGGCATAGGTTGACCTTTAATATCCCTAGAGGCTGAGGATTTGATATAGCACCCTGAAAACTCAGGAAGAACTCTGTACATATGGCCTCTATGTCCACAAGTGTAGAGAATATCTTACCTGAGACTTTTAGTGGAACTTGGGACCCTGAGACAGACACCCATAAAGGGGGCTGTTGTTGGCCCTGCACCCCGTCAGTCTTCGGCAGCAAGTTTAAGCAGATCTGTCAGCGATGAATCTGGCAGTGCTGGCATTTCCTGTGAGGGTTAGAAGTTAGGATGGCTTACCCACTCTCTGGTGGTTAGGACAGTCCAGTAGCCCTGGGGTATGGTCTCAAAGAAAGCCAGGATGAGGTACTCTCTTGCCCAATGTCTTCTGCTGCATTTGAGGCATGGTCCATGGGGTGGGGGCCAGGCAGCTCCACCCTGTGTTGGTTTACCTGTCTCAGAACTCCAAGCGTCACAAGTGTTATTGTTATCTCTGTTGTTGAAAACACAAAAAGCCATATAAGGTCTCTATGAGGTTTGAAGGTCAAGTTTTACCTTTTTGTTTGGGATCTGGACTACAGTCAAAGGTATCTGTAGAATTAAGTAAGTATGCAGGAGTTAAATGTAATCAACAGGGTATTTATAATTTTAGTAATGACTTCCCATAGGGAGGACAGGTCCAGAGAATTTTAGGAATTAATGTGTCATTTATGTCATATATATAAGTATCTCTTTATGTTATTAAAATGTCTAATGCCATCTGATTTTTGGAGGATGGCCTGTTTAATTAATTTTTATCTTTTTATTTAGGAGAGAAATCAGCTATGGTGTTATTTAATATCAGTTGAATATAGTTAATCATGGCTCGGTGGAGGGCTGAGCCAGGGCAGGCAGATAGGCTGGGAAAGAAGTTGGCACATGGGGCAGAGCTGGGAGGTGGCGTTGGGACACCATGTGAAGCTGGGGCTGCTCCCGGAGGCACAGCCAGTAGCCAACCGACGTGGAGCTGAGCCACCATGTGGAGGAACCGCTCGCAGGATGCATGGATTAGGGCGTGGCATTAGAGCCGAACCCACGCGGACTTGGAACACCGCATGAGAGCCGAGATACCACGCGGAGTTGGGGGGGGTGGCGTGAAAGCCTAAAGCAGCCTGCACATATCTCTCAACACTGTTTGGCCTTGTTTTTCCCATCTCGACGGGGAATGGATCGGTGTGCGGTGGGAGGAGGGGAAGCAGCAAGGAGACAAAGGGACGCTGGCGGGAAAGGACACACATTCCCAAAATAAAGGCTTAAAGATAGAGAGTTTTGTAAACTTGTCATCAGTGTGATAAGCCATAGATAGGTATGGTTTTTTTGGCGGGGGAGGACAGGAAGTGGTCCCCAAGATAAAATCTGGTGTGGGGTCTGGCCCATGAAGTTATAGCCAGATGAGGCAACAGACTGTGGTCTGCTAAGTTTAAAGTCGTCACTTTTTACTCTAGACTGATCGGTATTATATGGTTCCAAAACTCATAATAATTGGCCGTCATTAATATATGAGTGGATTTCATGTGGGTTTAGTAACATCTCTGCCCATGAGAACTTAAAAAGCTCTGAAGGACATGAAAGTCTTTCAGTGTGGACATAGGCTGGCCCAGGAAGACTGCCTTGGGCTATCTAAGGTCGTGAGAGTGTCACACGAACCCACGGAAAGGGGGAGAAAACCTGCCTGGGGCCTGGCCCAGCGGCAATCTCTGGGGGGTTGCTCACCTGCGGTAAATTGGGTTGGTGTTGTTTGTGAGTCAGCAGCAACAAGTTTACAGCTCCCGAGTGTAGAAGTGAGGAATTAATGCAGGATGCAGTCTGGTCCTGGTCCTGAACGGCAGGGGACTCATACTGGGAGGGCCCAGGAGTCTCTCGTCTGCTGTTCCCAGTCAGGGAACCATAGGATAGAACTGTGGAGGACTGGCGGTGGCTGAAAAGATAAGAAGTATGAAATATAAATGACCTTTATTTTGAGAATTCGAGAAGCGACACCCCCGATCCCCTGGGGCATGGCATCTCCCCCAGGGGTCGGCGATCTCTCCGTGGAATACGTGGAGTGGAGGCATACATGTAGCTTAGGTTAGGGGTGGTGCCTGAGGGGCATTAGGGGTGCACAGGTATCTCATTGGCACTAGTTTGGCACCAGAGGTAAATTCCTAGGGGTGGGGAAGATAGAGCCATAGGTAAATTCCTAGGGATGGGGGAGATAGGCGCTCCTTGGTTCCGCCTAAGGCTTTACCAGCTACAGTGTCCTGTCTGGGCCAACACTCTTTCACTATTCTATTCTGTTCAGTTTTTACTATGCCAAAAGTATCTGCAGCTATTTTGAAGACAACAAAAGGCATGGTAACTATTGTTGATTTCGTAAGGTTTTGAAGTCAGTATTATATGGTTCCAAAACTCATAATAATTGGCCGTCACCAATATATGAGTGGATTTCACATGGGTTTAGTAACAGCTCTGCCTGTGAGAACTTAAAAAGCTCTGAAGCACATGAGAGTCTTTCAGTGTGGACATAGGCTGGCCCAGGAAGACTGCCTTGGGCTATCCGAACCCAAAGGATGTGAGAGTCTCCCAGTGTGGACACAGGTTGGCCTGTAACATACATTGGTTTATTTTGATTGGTTTTATTCTTATTTTCCTTGGTTTTATCTTCTTTAAAATAAAATTTTAAAAAATTTTTTAAAGGAATATCTCTTCCAAATATTCAATAACAATCTTTTTTACAGTGGAAAAAAATTACACTCTTTTGAGAGAGAAATCAGAGTGTTTTCTTGACATGAACCTTGCTGAAACGAATCCTTTTTCCTGGGTGTGGTGGATGACAGTGAATAAAGACACACTGGGCCAGCAAGAGCAGTCTTGCTTAGCTGAACCTCGGCATCCATGAAAAGGCTTTGTGTATTTAAACCCAGAGAATTTCAATTTTTTTCAGTATAACTGCAAATTAAATGAATACATTTAAGGTACACAATAGCATGTCTTGAGATACAAACATGTTGTGAAATGATTACTATAACTGATTATTTCAATATATTCATCAAGGAGAAATTTAATTCTTGAAAATCCACATATGATCGGGGGATACAGTGGTTCAGGGAAGACTCCTCTTTTTATATGTTAAGACATTTTATTTTGTCAGGAGAAAAACTAAGGTGACCACAGAGGCTGAGCAAGTAACATGAGTGAGGGAGGTGGTCAAGTACAAGTCAGTAGAAATTCCAGGGCTGTGACAAAGTGAAGAACCTTTCTCTCTAGAGCCATGGGGCAACCATCATTTAGCCCCAGCCCTTATATAAGAATAAAAGACCAATGTTGCAAGATTGCATAATTACTAAACAGAAGTTAGAAGAAATTCAGATTTTATATTTTTACAATGCCACACTAGCCAATCACAATATGACAGCAGAATGTCCACTTATGTCTTTCTGTCCTGACAATGATCTCTGCCAAACAGAGGATTCAGAGGGGGCATTGTCCTGGGCTGGGAACTCTAGAAGCAGATCCTGGGACAGCGACAAGTTAGGATGTTACCTAGACATGCATACCTGTGTAAGGAACAAGGCAGGCACAGGACTGGCCAGAGAGAGCAAGGAAGTAGTAATACAGGCCTGACAAAGCTTCCACCAACCTGACAGTTCTAGATAAAATATTGTCAAAGGTGTCCCAAGTCAAGCCAAAAATAGCTAGATTTTATAACCACCCTGTGTGGTCATAGGGAAGGTTTAACCCACACACAGTAAGACAGCCTTCACCAGTTGAGGCCAATCTTGATATGGCTGAGTCCATGACTGTGTCTGTCAATCTTTCTTAAGGGAAAACCTAGATATCTGCACAGTGCATGCATCCCATGCATCCCACGGGCACACATAAACACAGAGGCACAGTGTAATAGGCCCTGCCAGGCAGGTAACAGTGTCACAGGGTTCTGGGGTGCCTTCTAAAGGTCACTGAGATGACCTGGTCTATAAGAAGAAAATCTGAACCAACCACTGGAAGGCATGGCAATTAATCCCAGCATTGACACTTGCTTCTCTATTTTCTCATCTTTGAAATATAGACTGTATCCTCTTCTTTTTGCTGGCTCAGTGGTAAGGATCAACTGTTACGAAGCTTTTGAAGAAAGAAGCAGTTCCCAAAAGTTCATGAAGAATACTTTTTGGGTGAATTTATTTTAACTTTAAATGACTTTATTGATGTATGACTGACATGTCATACATCAATACAGCTGTCCATGTAAGAGATATATAGTAATACCTCAGTTCACATATGCATCTGTCTGAAAACAATTTAGTACTCAAACAAAACCATTTGCCAAAATTTTGCTTCTGTTCACAACCCACATAAGGTGACAAACACAAATACGACCATCTTCCCCAAAATCATAAAGCAAATTAAATTTGTGAATCAAAGTAGCAGTAACTTACTTAGCTACAGAATAAATATGCATGATTATAAAACCCATCAAAGCTCTTCACATATCCTTCATCTCCCATTTCTTCTCTCTCTCTTTTGATTAAAATTGGGTTGTGAGGGATGATTTTTTTTCTTTTGTTATAAGCACTTAACAAGAAATCTACCCTCATAGAACTTTTGAGTACACAATACAGTATTGCTAACTATAAGATCTATATAGTAAATACAGCATTTACATAATATTTATATCTGCATAACTGAAGCATATCCTTCAACCATCTTGTCCCCCAACTCCTAATGATAAACATTCTACTCTTTGTTTCTGAACTTCAGTATTTCAGGTTTCATATATGATGAGATCATATAATACTGTGTTTGTCTTTATGTGTCTGGCTTATTTTATTGAACACAGTACTCATCTATATCATTGCAAATGGCAGTATTTTCTTCTTTTTAAAGACTGCATACTATTCCACTTTGTGTATATACTACAATTTCATTATCCATTGATCATCCCATGAACATTTATGTTACTTCCAGGTCTAGGATAGTATGAATAAGCCTGAAGTGAACATAGGAATGCAGAAATCTCTTCTAGATCTTTGTTTCAATTCCTTTAGATATGTACCTCTCAGTTTTAAATAACAGCCATCCTAAAATGTGAGATGGTTTTGATCTGCATTTTCCTGATGAATAGTGATGTCATATACCCTTGCATGTACACTGTCATACACTGTACCTATTAACCATTCACTAATTTATTTCTTTAAAGAAATGTCTATTTAGATCTTTTGTCCATTTTTATATTAAACCTATAAATCATTTTGGGTAGTATGAATAACTTAACAATATTAATTATTCTAATATGAATACAGGATATATTTTTATTTGTATTTACTTTAACTTCTTTCATTAATGTTTTATAGTTTTTTGCAGGTTTTTTTTTTTTTTTTTTATCGGTACCGGGGATTGAACTCATGACTGCCTGCT